TGAATGTTCTAGCAATTCTTGTTCTACTAGCCACAAGCAGACTGGCTCTCTTTGAGTTTACTATTTTCTCGGTTGGTGCGTGAGTAGGGTCGTTGTTGGACGATGAGCGTCATAAAGCATATCTCAGCTTGATACTTCATTTCTCCCACGTGGTCACAAATACCGAGAGTTTAGTAAAATATTAATATCACAAGTGCCTCTGTTTGATAATTACGCTTCTTTTATTTTTAGTACGTCAGAGACTTCGTTCTTATTTTTAGTATAGTCATTTATTAAAGAATATCAATAAGACTGTGGAGATCTTTCTATAGCGCATTTTTTACACTTGTATCTTGATTAGATTGTATTTATCTCTAAAGCAAATGATAATTACTTTAAAATCACACTTGTCATTCCAATTTTGCGCACAGACTACACGTCCGACAACAAAACTTATTAAACGGCTTACTATGTGACATCATTATCCATTAACTTCTAATTTAATTTTTTTTTGTATTAGGACCAGGCGGACGAGTTGCTTACAGCAGGTAGTTATTTAATATGATAAGCCGCTTGGGATGAGAGCGTATCGAATTTCATTTTTTATATCTACTGAGGACTTATGATGTTGAGATCTATAACAATTATGTATATCATATTTTCATAATTATCATATACTCTGGAAACTTATGGTGATTCCTATAATCCACACACAGTGACTATCAGTTCCACGCCTTATACAATCTATGGATGTGAAAGCGAAATCCGAATTAAAATATTTGTCTAATAGCACTGATGGTCTCTGGAATTTTTATTTAAGGTGGAAAATAACAACATGCCAGGATTCAAGGATACTCAATATTAAAAAAATACTTACTACTTGCACATTGCGAGCGTGAAAAACTCTGCTCATATAAATTTTACTAGCAAATCTAAATCTTGAGGATATCATAACTATACTCTTTGATTCTATATTCTCTGAATATTCTACTTATATTAATTAATCTCTTGATTTAACGACATCCTCCAACTGCGCTAGATTATGTTAGCATATGCCTTTGAGTGTTTAGTCTGCGTAACGCCCATACTTACCTTTATACCTCGTGTCGACACCATCACACTTATAAAAATTCTCTAGATACCACATGAACGAAGTAGCCACCTAGATAAAGTACCACCTGACCTCAGCATTTAGATTTTCGCGTATTTTCGTTCGGGTCTTAGCACTTGCTTCTCGTACAGGTCAGAATTCGTACAGTTGCTCTGAGCGAACTATTCGAGCCTCTGAATAAGAGCGATTTTATACAATCTCCGCCGCTATTTTGACACCATCACTCCGCAAGTACGATGAGATCTGATTATGATTACTATTTACAAGGTCCAACTAAAATATGCACGTGTGCCCATCTCGAATGTCCACTCTAATTCTTGTTGTTCATCAAGTCTCTAGAGAATTTCATATTTTAAGATTATGAATTAACTCAATTCGTCTTTAATTTCCTTTTCCAGTTAAATTCAACCATGCAACAGCCTTGTAGTAATCGATGTTGTCTATAACAAAAGCTTGATGCCAATCTAAGACCAGCCGTATCTTTCGCAAACTCGGGTAGTAAGATTCGGTTATCGCTATCTCAAAGGTATGTTGAGGACTAAGAAGCTCCTTACGTTTTCTATGTGTATTTATTTTGCTTTGTGGGACGCGTGGCATTCAACTGTTTTATGTTTACTCAACCCATGCTCTCTATTTTAGGCTATATTATCCATGACCATGTACTATGAATTTTATAGGGTAACTGCTAGCACGTCAAGCAACAGAGCAGTATCGCGTAGCGGCGACAATGAGTGACCCTCCTAAGAGTGAGGTTGAATACATTTGCGTTACCCTAGTGAGAGCTGGAACAAGGCTGAGCTCCCCTACATGTAGCTAGTGAATATGAATTGTACGACCACCAAATGCTTCCTGAGCACCTAAATTTGAGCCAGATATATGCCGAGAGATAGTGCTTCATCTGTGGCGAATGAAAAGTGAATCACACTAGGCATTTTAACTTAACAAGTATTAGTATGCCTAAATGGCATTGGAGAATGGCGTCTAAGCCCAACGACTCAAGGAACCGAAAGCTATTACACAATTGTCATTAACTCATTTTTTATAGAAAGTGTTAGAGAACTTCAACGTCGTCAGCTCAGAATGGCATCACATTAACGCACTATTAAATGCTCCATGCGATTTAACACAGCTTGCTCAATGACGGTACTGCACATATATATCTCGGCCCTCAATAGCAGTTTCAGATTGCATGACTTCTAAGCTAATTAAAGAATAGAGTAAATTCACTCATATTTCTTGTAATTTATTCTTATGTCGAATAGCTCAAGTTATGTGCTAATCCTTTGAATGGTCGGCAGCGAATCTGTGTAGACTATTAGTGGATCATTTCCGAGCATCGTAATCAATCTGTCTAATAGATGATACTCTTTTAAAAATTGACTGCAATTAAGGAGTAAAATGATCTCCTCTCTGCGCAGTTAGCTTCTCAAAGGTTGATTGCGAAAGGAAGCATTGTGGACATTCAATTGCATTTGCTCCCTTTTAAAGAAATCATTTCCTCCTTAATTATGGAGGCAAATCTGGCTAGTAGAATGCGTGCTTGTCGGTATTAATTGCTTTAAATTGACACAGTGAGACAAATTAAGGAAGAAATAAATTTGGTTCATAACAATTAAAAATTTACTCAGGACACATTTAATGGAAGAAACAAATTAGAAGCATCGTGAGTTATAATTACAAAGAAGAGTAAAAATAGAAAATTAGAATTTTCATATCCCCTCACCTAACTAATTTTTTATCATATGGCGAGGTTTTCACTGCACCAAACAAGACGTTTGTTTCTGCTTGGAGCTTTGTCTTTCATGCACAATTTTATTTCTCGCTAAATCAAAACCTGAAATTGCTCATTTAAATGTAATACTTAGATATAAAACTTGAATACATATACAAAAAGCATTATATATGAGTATTTTTTTATTGATAATTTATTATCTCTAATGAGTGGAGAGTGATTGGCTACATTAATTTGAACTAGCTACATAATATACATACATACCCACAGGATCGATGTTAGAGTGGTTGTAGAAGGAGTTCTAAGATTGGATCATGCAGAGAGGCGAGGAGGACGGGATCGGCACCAACAGACAACAGAGGCGTCTTTATCTTGTGTTCTTTTCTTGCTATGTACTTCCTGACTATTGCTTTGATATCACTTTACTCATTTATCGTCACTTGCGTCTCGAGTTATCGTTGGCGAGGTTACCATGTCTTTACAACTACACAACCTCAGATTCACACCAGGATCATCTCTCAGCCCACATCTCGAGTTTTCTGGCGGGTGGCCTGTCTCCAATCACTGACTGGCCGTGCCATGTAGATTGGGTCCTATGTTACTGCTCACTTCTATCATGCATGCTATGTGACCTTACTTCTTCGTCGCCTCTCTCTTCTCACATTTGACATGATATCCGATCTAGAAGTTGACTGTGTCTGATTGTTAGTGTTCGTGCTTCTGGCATAGTCGCTTCCCTTAAGCTCAATCGTATAAGCAACGCGGAGGTATTCTATAATGATTCTTAAGACAGTTTCTGTGGAATGCCTCCATGCTTAAGATGGGGCTGTGGTTGCCAGTCCGAACACACTATTGACCTCTCTTTTCACGACACTATCCGAGTGTTTGTGTGTTATAGTTTACATATGTTCTGTGCTGTTGATGTTGGCTCCTGTAGTATCTTGTCGAAAGCCAAGGTTCTGCACCAAGTATCCCACAGTCAAGATGTGTTAACATGTGCGACATTAAAATACATGGAGACCCGCAATTTAGAGTGTTCATCAATGATGTACTTCGTACAATGAACACTTGATAAAAGTCTGACTATCAGTCTGCATCTGTTCATGGACATGAAGTTATGCTATTTTGTATGGGTTTCATTTTAGTATCACTGTGCATATGATGCATTTGAGTAAAATCTGCTCGACTAGAGCATTTTCTTGCTATGGAAGAAACATCAATCAGATGCAGATCTTTGCTCTATGCACTGCCTGGAAAATTCAGGCTGTATTTATACTGAGGGCCTGTTTTAAACAACGGACAGTCACGGGCAAATGTGACGTCTGTCTACTAAACTACGCCATTAAATTCATACTTTTTTTCGTAGGCGTTTACACCAAACGCTCGAAGATGCGGCGTTCGCCAGTATAACATCTTCCGCTAGCACGTCGCCGATATTAGGAAAACTGTCAGGCCTAGGCCTTCTATTTACACTTAGGTCGGGCAGATGTATTTTAAGAAAACGCCGAGCTAAAAAATGTCTCAGAAGTAATCCCCCGCACCAAGGCGGTGAAGCTTATGCATAGCTAGCACTGTACTCTAAGCGATCGCTTTCTAAAAGCGCCGTGTGTCATCCCTCTAATGCTATTAAAGCTGCTTCTTTATTATGAATCGACAATGACGAGGGTGGAAACGGAGGCAGAGGCAGGATGTCTTCGTCGAAGGAGACCGCGTAGATACAGGCCCTTTCTGTTACTTCTTTTCTTTTTTGTGAATTGTCTCAGATATGAACAGATCTTATACTTTATTGATTGAACGCCCTCACAATAAACCAATAAAACGCACAAAAGTGCTAATGAATAAAATAAGGACACTCGGAGAAACAATCACAGGCCATGCACTATACTATTATATTCTAAATAATCGATTCTCAGAATATTTCACATTGCTGATGTTATATAACTCTGTCTTTTTAGTTATTTCGATCACTATTGATGCTAAATCCAGGCTACTAAATACATGGTGAACGTAAAAAAAAAAAAAAAAAAAAAAACATCCACTCAAATCATTTGAATTACATTAAGGAGTCACCGAAATTAGATGCCCCTCCCAAAAGAACACAGGGATCTATATATATACACAATTTGAAACATTGGTTTGATAGATTACTAAGATTAACAAAATGAATGAGAAAGTCAATTATCAGAACACAAATTGAAACATTGGTTTCATGCAGACTTAATACCTATGAAATACAAGCAAAAAACACAATTAAACACCTGTTTTAACAAGATTTTAACTTCCAAAAAGTAAATTTTATTTCTTCTCTGCCACACACCTGCAGAGGGGTTTTGGGTAAGGAAGAAAGAGAAGAGAAGAGAAGAGAAGAAAAGAAAAGGACATTAGAATAATTACCTAGATAGATAGAATACAGACACTAGAATAAAAAATTACAACATTGCGGGCCATACTTTACTAACTCAGTGGGAGTCTTTCACAATCCTTTCAAATGTGATCTGCAAAACCCAGTTAAATCCAATCCTCTGTCACAGCATGAAACCTGTAAAAAAATTCATCGGTAAAAAATAAGCCCTCGGTCCATAAGAAGCAGGGATACCTGATCCTACAAAACTTGTAATACCCGTCATAACTTGTTAACGTAAAAAGAGGAAGTTGACAAAAGACAAAAGCCGTTACGAAACCACATGAAAAATTGCATGTTAACTAGCCTGGAATGTGCTGTGGTCAGAGAGTACCTGACTGCAAACAAATACCAACACATGCAATAAAAGCAAAAAATAGGAATGCATCTAAATACCAAACCCATGTACTTAATGATTTTACAGAGCATCACTTGTAGTAAGACATTTGGAAACCCATGTAACTTAAAGAATGTATAGTATCAAAGTAGAACTTCTTCAAGTTATTTGTCCTACAATTCTAATCTATCCAATTTGGACAGGGGAAACCAAAAGGAAAGCCAGGAAACAAGAATTTTCAATCGGTGGATAACATAATAGGTTTTACAAGTCAAGCAGATTCCGTTTCAAAATATATGAACTAGACCCATTTCTCTCTCACACACACCCAACCTTTAACTACTACACACAAGTCAGGAATTGACCATTCCTTGACGGAGACCAGAAAGCCATTGTAAATATGTTTGGTGACTTACAACTATACAGGACTGCTGCTTCAACTCCCTTACTGTTATTAAAACAAGACATAAAATAGTAGAAGCTCGCCGTTACTTATAAGTTCAAAGGGACAACACAGAAATGATACTATGTGGAATGAAAACAGTATCATAATCAATAAAAAAACATCAAAAGACTACACCTCATACCACATTTCAATCATTCACAAAAATCTCCATCAGAAATAAGAATATAAGGAAATAGCATGAAATTAAAATGAAACTCAGGAATTTTAAAGGAAACTCTTCAGAAAGATTTGAGACATTTCTAAGATCTCTAACACAACATGAAGAAAATTCTCAGAAACTCTTGAAAAATTTTTTGTTCACTCACCAGAAACTCTTGAAAAATTCTTATTTCCAATCATAATATATAATTGTTTTAATAATTTTCTACAAATCTAAGATTCAAACACAGCCCCAAAAGGATATTTTAACAAATTGAAACAGAATAGACAGGCAGCTTACTTACAAAATAATTAACAGATATAAAACAGCCAGTAAGTGTTTATTGGAAATGGGAGGGGGAGGACTCTTTTAAAACAAAGAAATTTGAAAAGTTGATGACCAGCAGTGATGATGAGAAACATTGGAAAAAGTAAGAGATCAGATGAATGTGAAAGGGAAACGATCTAGGAGGTTTTATATCACCATGCATGCAAGGCACACAAATCAAGCACATCAAAAGCAATTATGAAACCAATAAAAAAAGGTGGGGAAAAATTATCCAATCATAGAACAGTGAACCTGCACATCACCTGCACAGTGGAAAATGGTGTAAGCTACTTTGTTGGATGTGTGGGTCTTTTTTTAAATGGAACTTTTTATTGAAAGAGCAACCCAAAACATCAAAATTTTAAGAAAACAAGAATACATACCAGAAAATATTAGTTGGATCAATATCCATATCCTCGCCGCTGCTGGTTTCCATAGTACTGATCTTCATTGCTTTCGTTGTTATTGTTGGAACCATAAGTATTATCCTTATTAGCTTTTTCTGACTGTTCCTTTTCCCTGTTCCACTGCCCGATTTTGGCATGTCTCTCCTCACTTCCTTCTCTTACTGGACTCCGGTTCCTTCTTCCCCCCGGGCTCCTGCTTCGTCCTCTTCTGTGGCCAGGGCTTGTAGTCCTGTTCCTCTTGCTACGACTCTCATGGTAGTAATCCTCGTCATCATACCTTCTACTGTGCCCACAACCTCCATGAGGGCGCTCATCATAGCTGCGATGCCTATAAGGACTTCAACTTCTGCTCCGACTGCGGCTATGCCTTGAGCGATACCTCCCAAACAATTGGCGTCTCAACTCTCTATCGTTCATAACAGTAAGATGAATCGTTTTAGAAACAAAATCAGGCTCTGCTCAACTGTAATACCTTGCAAAATATAGATGAGACAAAAACAAACACATCAAGGATGCTTACCTGCCAATCCTTTTCAGATGCATAAAGTTGCAATACCCACCACGATTGCAGGCATTCTCTTCATACTGCCTACATGTGGCTTCACGAAAATCAGCCTTAGGCACATAAAGTAAGAACAATAATTTTCTATCCTTTTATGGACGACAAAGAACAATAACCAAAAGCTAGAATTTTAAATCTTGTCCCATGTTTCCAATCCATTATACAATAAAATTGCACTTACCCTCCCATCATAGGATAATGATGCAAAAATCCATGGCTCTCGGGAACTCCAAGCAAGACCAGCAATTTTGGTAAAACTAGTCAGGCTAAATTCAGACATTAACCTAGGAGTACACAACTGTGGAGTACCAAATATGATTAGTGAAAACTGTTATTCCTAAACACCAAAAACCCAATACCCAACCTTAAGTACTCAGTAATTGTAATAACATGATACCTGATATATATATCCAATGCAACAAGTGGAGTATGAATCCAGCCAACAACCTTAAAAAACAATTTAGTTTTCTTTATCCATGCTATCTCTAATTTCTAGTATTAAAAAATTAAAAATTTTAAAAATAAATTAAAAAAATAGGAGGAATAAACATGATGGTACTAGGATTCTAGGGCATTTAACATTAAATAAACCAAGGCTAACTCATTTGTTGCTTAGAGTCAACATAAGAGTAAAAGAGCAGATAACTAACATAGGTGCACATACATGTTGCTAGTTTAAGAGAATGAAACAAGAAATCAGTACTTTGATTTTGTTAGATGCTCAAATCCATCCAGTTGATTGAGAAGCTCCAGCATCGTCCCCTGCACTTCTATCACCATTACCAGATCCAGATTCCATTCAAAGAAAGGCAGGTTTTACTTTGAATAAATTTAAAAAACCCTTTCCTTGCCCCTTCTAACCAATTAAACCTCACTGCATAACTCCAAAACCAAACCCTTTATTACACCAATTTCAGACCTTGAGAGTCCACAATAGTCACTCTCGAAGACCCTCTTTGAGAAATCAAAATCAAACTTTAGATCGGAGTTTATAAGAGTGTGCTTCGCCCCATCAGTTTCATGTTTTTCTGTTAGTCAAAGCAGCAGACCACCCAAAAGTCCCACACTATGATTTAAATGCCCAGCATCAGTATGACTAATACATGCATAATGATTTCATCTAGTTAGCACATGCACAATAAGATAGATTTATAATTTTATATGACTGATTCATGTTTGCTTGTTAACCAAGTCCAATGTAATGGCAGATCAATCATGAGCCTTGTGAAATGCACCTCCTCAGAAGACAAATTGCACAAAGACTATGGGATCTGAAATAACACAATCAAGATTACATCACCTTCTTATTGCTAGCTGCATCTTCCGCTTGTTTAACCAATGCTGTACCTTCAGCAGTAACATGCTGCATAAAGAAAAACCCAGCGAAACTTCAAAATAAACAAGGGGAAGAAACAAATAATACCAGAGGCACAATGCTACATTCTTTACAGAACAATGTACTGCAAGTTAAAGACCAAAACCTGTTTAAATATACTAGAAACCGGATCTAAACCTCGAGGTATTTTGGAAAAGAGCCTATACATCCTTGATAAATCCTCTACCTACAAGAGAACAGGAAAAAAATGTTAATAAACTTTAGTTAATTGCAACTGAAATAACAGCAAGAAGGCTTGAATAATAACACTGTCCAAGTCTGATAAAAAAAAAATGGTCCAAATGACTACCTTGTCATCCCTAAGCAATGCATGACATCCAGAGTGCTCATTCTCGAGCAATTGGGTTGCATAAACGGACAACAATTCATGTTGAACTTTCTATAGGAAGACAAAATTACCCACAATTATAATAGCAAAAGTGCATATCTTCAAAATTGGCCTCAAAATAAATAAATAAAAAAGAATTTGTTATATTTACACATGTAGGGAACCATAGCTTGGCTCAATTTCCAAAAGTAAGCTTTCATGACCAATGTTTTAATTAATATGAATATGCTTTTATTTCATGTAATACCCCGATTTTTCAAAACTACAAAGGGAAAAACTTTTCAAAATCACAAAATGACTTCTGATTCATATTTTGTGAACACTAGATGGATTTCTTTTATCAGATAATTTAAAGCATTTACCATCATTGATATTTTACATATTTATGTGACTTGCATATTTATTGGGAGAAACTGTCAGATTGCTTGGGATGTCTGTCTGTCTGTAAGAGGCATGGACCACCACATGGCCTTCGCCAGGTGATGTCCTGGAAGCACTGAATAACTTCTCCCAAAGCAGAGCCCACCTGTAGGTCTTTTATCCACTTTTAAAAACATATTTATTTTTATCACAGCACAAACCAGATACACATTTGAAAAACATAATATACCATGCAATCAGCGTAACTGGAAAACATGCAGAAAGAAATGTAGACCTGATCCATACTTATATCAATGCAAATAACTTATAGTAGAAAGCCGGAATGGACAAAACTTCGGCTTCCCTCTGTGTCCATACTTTAGCAGATATGCCCCCCTCTTTAAGGCTGCAATAGACTACATTTAAAAATAAGATACAGAAAAAATTATCAGATCACTCACAGATAATTTAGGAAAAGCATATAGCATACTGAAGTACCATAAGAGGAAGCAGGGAGAATATTAAGAAAATTAGCATATGTGAAGATAAATAAAAACTTCATGATATCACAAGAAATTTCCAATCATGGGCTTCCTACACCAAAAATGATGTTTAATCATGGGCATCCATCCCATGTCTAAGGCCAAATCAAAGATAGAAGCATAGGAACCACTGGACCACAAGCAACAAAATCACTTGATGCATTGCTGGATTACTCTACACAATAAATACTCGATCAAAATGAGGAATCGCTCAACTCCAAAGCAAGAACACTTGCAAACTTGATCAAAAGACCAGCCTTCCTATCATATTCTCAGTGATGCCTATAGATTACAATGTAAGAAGAGGGACCATTCGACTCAAAGAGGAAGCCAAAGGAATTAACCATGTAACTAATATTCAAAAACTAGGATACTACTTGTTCACAATTCAAAATGGCACATAAGCATTTTAATTGTTCCTAGGCAGTCAAAATGTAAAACTGGAATGGAGACTTGCACCTTAAAGTGAAAAATATTTCATATGACTTCTTGTTGGTTTTTATTTTTTTGTTCTTCTATTCTTTTTTCTTCTTTGTTTATGTTTAAGAACTCCAGCAAGACTCATTTCCATCAATTGCAGATACCAACAGCCATCTTAGTTCTCTCAGAGAAAAGAAAACTGAAAGCACTTAAAGCAGACTTTCAAATGGGAAATTCAATGCAATTGGATATCAAGTCAACACAGAAGCCACACTTTCAGATTCTGGCTATTAAAGGAAAGAACAAAATTTCTAAAGTCTTAATTTGTAAATTGAAGTAAATTTTTGGCAACTATGTATATTTGAGCGGGCATTGTGCCCCTCCATTGTTTGATTTTGTAGTCTTGTGAGTGTGTAGTATTTTTCCGATTGAGAAAGAAATTGTGTCAGACATAACAGATTCAATGTGGCCCAATAAATTGGTTTATGATTTTTTTACATTTGCTTCTTCTCCTAAAAAGTTGTGAAAATGGCTTTTACAATATTTAATAGTTAAAGTTGTCCCCATCATATAGCTATTGAAGCAACGTCAGATAGGAAACAAAAGCAAAAAAATTCTAATTGGCAATAAAATTATGAAAGAAAAGAAAAGGAAAAAGATTGAGAAGTTACATCACCCGCTCAACATCCCTCTCATCAAAACTAGTCCTCTGTACATGAGCCATTCACACTGCAATATCAGGTATAGCCCTTGTGCAGTGTAAATTCCATTCGGACAACACAAAATCTCTAGAAGATGCATCGAAATTCGCCCCATAAAAAACCTAACAGCACGCTCGGCACTAAAGAATCAAAACTTGGCAACAACCAAATCAACAAAACAGAAGAGAGTTATAATATATATACATATATATATATATATATATAGAATCACTGAACCAACACAAACAAAACAGAATCACCGAATCAGATTTACGATAGTCATATAGAGAGAGAGAAGGGGTAGATCCGAACCTTTCTGCCTTCTCTCAATGCCTTGATCTCCGCATAACAGATAGACCTTCGCAATCGAGAGAGAGACCTTCGAAATCGAGAGAGAGAGCGCTTTGAAATCAAAATCGAAATCACCGAGATGTCATTCTGAGATGAATCATCGAGATTCGATCGATCGATCTGTTGAGAAAGAGCTTGAGAGAGAGCGATCCGTTGAGATATCGATCGATTGATATTTTGAGATGAATCACTGCTATTGGAAGTATTTGAGAGAGAGAGAGAGAGAGAGTGAGCAAGCCGTCCACAGATCAGGAGAGGGTTGAGTGACTGAGAGCTTAGGAAGAGGGTGTAGAAGAGTGAGTCAGCGGCCGGCCCATTTAGGGAGATAGTGTTTAGAGATTTGAAGGCGCTTTTGAACGCCTCCTATCATTAGAACGGTGCCGTTTTCATTTAAAAAAGGTGACGTTTGCAAAACACCGTTAAATATTATAAAACAGTGACGTTCAAAAAAATGCCATTAAATAAAACGCCGTTAAAACCTTCATTTCCTGTAGTGATCGATTGCACAAGTAATGCCGAGTTTAAGATATTGCGAGAAATCATTAAAGATGGATTAAAGAGTGATCCTAAAAAATATAGGAAGAAGGTGGAGAGAATAGTTGGAGTTTCAGAGGAGACTACCACTGGTGCTAAAAGGTTACCAAATGGCAGCTGAAGGGGTATTACTGAAAGATGTTCTATCAATGGCAATCGATCGGAATACCCGTGAGGGTGTTTGTCACGCAAGAATGCTGAATATCCGGAAGATAGAAAAATAGTTAACTTTGTAGTTCTTTTTTATATATTATTCACAACCTGTTGTCACTATTTATATATCAATAGGAGACTCTTGGCAATAGGTATAATCTAATAACGATTGCCATGTTTCACAGAGTTGTGTCTGTTGATAATTTGAATTCAAATTATCAACCAACTAACGGATAGTTCAATATTCTTACGAGAAGGTTTATAACACTGCTAGAGAGAGAAAATTCAGTGAAGTGAGTCACACCAATTTATGGTGTGGTCACTCTTTATTCCATTATCTCCCACTTGAACACACCATAATAAGACGATAAACCTGAGTTGAGCATTTTTAACCTTGGTACCAAAATTTTGCCTTATGCCAACTTTCATCTATGAAATTACCTCATAGATCAACGTCTGATTGTGACTTGGCCATATGTGCTCACATTTTTGTCACCAATCTGACCGCACCCGTACGAATGTGTTCTCCCACTGATAACACATTCCAGATGACTTCAATTCACTATATAACAAGTGAACGGCATCAATTTTCAGTAATGGGTTCATAGTCCATACCCAATCACCATTGACGACTTCAGCCGTACACATTTTTCATGTGTCAACCTGCACTGAAATTATTGTTAAGTACTTCCTTTAAGACCCATTCCTGAAGGTTTTCCTTAACACACCTTATCAATGACTTTTTGTTGATCAAGTAGACAATATCATCTAGTTAGCACGTTGCATATTATGGACTTTACATCTCATGCTAACTTATGATATTCGCACCTTGTCAGTTCCTCTATCTTGTTACCTGACCAAACACATGTTTCCATGCAAGATAGAGTCGCAAAACATCGGTTATCTAGGCGTCACCAGAGTCATCCGACTATGCTCTTATATAAGTAGCTAAACCACCTAACTAGGTATTTTTCAATCCCATATTAGCTATATGTTCTCTGAATTTTTCCAGAGATAACCCTTTGGTCATAGGGTCAGCCACCATCTCTTCTGAGGGTATATAGTTGACTTTTATTTCACTTTTCTCCACTATGTCCTGAATATAGTGGTAACTAACATCAATATGTTTTCCCTTAGAGCTATTTGCTCCACTTTTTATTAATGAGATGGCAGACTGATTGTCACAAAACATACTGACCGGTCTGACAGGTTTGCCTAATTGTAAACTGTCAACAAATCGTTTTATCCAGACTGCATTACTAACGGCTGTGCTGCAAGCTATATATTCAGCTTCCATAGTATATTTTGCAACACAACTCTGTTTCTTACTTAACCAAGAAACTGTTGTTCCACCAAACAAGAACACATGACCACTAGTAGATTTTCTATCATCTACATCTCCTGTAAAATCCACGTCAGTGTATCCTTTTATGTCTAAATCACAAAAACCAAAACATAACTTAAAGTTTTTAGTGCCTTTTAAATACCTGAATATTCTTTTGACTGCTTGCCAATGTTCCTTACCTGGATTAGATTGAAACCGACTTACCAATCCGACTGCATGATAGATGTGAGGTCTAGTGCTTGTCATGGCATACATTAGGCTGCCTACTGCTTGAGCATACGGAACATTTTTCATTTCCTCAATGTTAGACTTAGTTTGAGGACTCATACTTTTACTAAGACTTTGTCCCTTGCAAACAGGCGTACTTAAAGAATTACAGTTATCCATATTAAATCTTTTGAGCACTTTGTCTAGATATTTCTCTTGATCTAGATATAATATTTTTGAATTTCTATCTCTTGAAATTCTAATTCCTAAAACATAGGTTGCAAGACCCATGTCTTTCATTTCAAATCTAGATGCTAAGAAAATTTTGGTTTTTATAATTATATCTGGACAGTTTCTTGCTAACAATATATCATTCACGTATAAAGACAATATTGCTAACTTGTCAACATTTTTCCAGAT